TATGAGGTTGAACTCTTCGAACTTCAAAGTGGGTGAGGTATTGGGCAGACCAAGGAAAACTGCTGACTAGGTTGCGCATGACGAGTATGTAGGCACATTGCGGCAGTAGCGAGACGGCCCATTTACTTGTCTCTCTGTGGACCGCAATGAGGGCATATGATAGTATGTAGTATATGACGGCACTAAGAGTCGCACCCGAGTTGGGATACTCAAATAACGTCGAGAGAGCAAAAACGAAGGCCATCGAGGCGAAAAAATAGAGAAATGTTAAAAGGAACAACCATAAAGCTCCGAAAGGTGAGAGTATCGCCAAAGACAAGAGCGCTACTATGATAGCGATGACTAAGTAGAATACAAAATACCAAACATACCAAGACAAGTTGTAAGGGAGGTCATAGAGACCCATGATACGCATACCTGAAAACAAAGATAACTCAGCCAAAGAAGTAGCAATAGACTGACCTTCGCGTAAGCGGCCACGTCTCTCCGAAATGAGCTTCCGTGTAACCGAGAAGGCCGAGAAAGTGAACAAAAGAGCTCCTACAAACCCGGCCAGAAGCTTCATAGTGCTGCCAGAAGCTCTTTCGTTGTAAGTTGGATAAGGCATAGGATAGAGTGCAGAGACAGGCACGTCTGATCCTCTACGATAGTCCATCCAAGTGCCCATGAGGGGAGGGAACTGAAGACTACTGTAATACTCTAAGCCATTGATTTTGGGATCGCCGTGCTGATAGTCGCCGTTCTCAGGATACCAATAGCTAGTATAATCAGCGAAGTCTCCATTAGCCAGGCTGGACGCATTGCTCATAATAGTAACCTCATTCTCTCGTCCGACATTCATGTAATAGCATATCTCCGGATGTGAATCCAAACCGTAGGATGGAGACTTGACGTAGGCTGATGGATCAGAAATGGCCGTAGTGATGGTCAGCAGCGGCGCACCGTCACATATCCGAGGGTTGTCTACAGCTCTGATGCGGTCCCGCAAGTAGCCGGCAAAGTCTGACGCTTGCTTGGTCCCCGCGGGACCGATCGCCATAGTGCCACAGAGACAACTGCCAACCACAGCCGCCAAGTTAGACTGGCGGTAGAAGTCACTGTAGGGGATCGAGGTTGATGCATTAAGTTTGGAATAGAGCATTTCCACCGATTCCGCATAGGAAAAAGCACCGACTCTCAACCAGCCTCCGGAGATGGAAGGGTAATCCGCAGCGGGCTGAGACACAAAGCGGATATGTACACACAGGAGACAGGCTCTAGACCGGAGAGAAAAAACTCACGATTGTTTCCAACACGTTCCCTTTGGAGTTGCCATAAGGTGGTATTAACAAGGCAGCTATAGCCACCACTATAGGCAGGAAAATTTCACAGCAGATGGTTAGCTTGGACCGGCGAGATAAAATGAAGTTCTTCTTGCACAGAGCTACAATCTGAGAGGCATCATCATCCCACGGACAATGTTGAATAAACCGCTCCCTCACCTGAGCACGAAATGGGCTTTTATGAGGCTTCCCTTTAGTGGACACAGCGACTTCAGTCATAAGATGAAAAAGCTATAACTTAGCCCAACCAAGGAACCTCCTATCCCCAGGATCAGAGAATCCGTCTCTCTCATGCTAAGACGATATGAGCGTGTCTTCAAGTGAGTACAAAATACCCTCTCAGTCTTCACCGAGCAAAGATGAACACCGCCCACGGCTTCATAAGCCACCACAATCCAGCAACACTACTCATCAGACGGGCCTTGGAACCGCGACAATGCTGCGGTGATATCTACGACGCCCGGATGACGATCCCAATTCCCCAGAATGCTCAAGGAAGCGTGACATTAGATGCGCTGTCGCGCTCCCTCCACAGGGAAGAGATCGATTTCGCCCCTTCCCACTACACGGAATCGTTGCGAACTGATCAGCGATAGTATACACCTTGCCACTCACGTTTCTGCGGTCAGATGACGCGATTTCCAGACCAGACTCCGGTTGCACCTACAATGCCCACGTGCAGCGCGCGAGCCCAGACTCACTTCCAAGAGACCTGCCTCGATGATTGGGGACCTTCTTAGAGTCCCATGAGAGCTCCTCCGACTGGAGGGTGTTGGGCTGAAGAACCGAGGCGTCATCCAGCGGAGGCTGGAGCTCCAACCAGGAGCCTCTAGGTATGCCTCAGATTGCCAATCATCCGCGTTGCCACTAGTCTTAGACTACACCATTAACCGGTCAGAGTAGTACATGTTTCAAGTGATTTGAGAGGCCATGGATAATCGCCTCACCGGAAATGGTGTACTAGTCTCATTACCTGATCTGTAGATTGGCAATCAGGGATTCCGTGGTTTGGGAATGCGCCAAAGGTTCCATGTGGTAGGGAACGCATGTTGTGAACCTGATTTCACTTGTTGCACTCCATCGGTGTGACACTGATGCGCAGCGCAGTGCGTTCCGGTTTCGCACACTTTCTTGTTAGTAACTAGTCGTTACAGAGAGTACGCTTCACTGAGCTCCCCAAGGATATCATGACTTGCCGAAGACTTGGACAACTCCTTCTCACTCTGGAATAACCTCTATTGTCCCATGTACCCAAAGTCTCGATATATGCATATGCGCGCCCCAGGGTTGGAGGCCTCTGGACGAGCGCGCCCTAACCTTTCACGTACGTTACGCAGTTAGGACCAGCTCACAGGTGAAGGGGCTAGAAGGAAAAAAATAGAGCGAGCGGTAAAAATTAGCTGATTGTCCGTGTATTCGTAGGCCTCTACACTAACGACTAGCCTCACGAGTATGGTTGGGTCTGAAATTCTGTGACCAAAGACTGGTCTTGAAATGTTCGAATTCACGTGTTGTTGCGCGCGTATGGCGCGCACAAGAGTATCTCATGAACGTTTTCACGGGATAGAGTTGATTCGATGAACCGAGCTAAGCTCGGCGAGCTTCCAGGACATTGATATGAGTGTTACAATAATGGACAAACATGGTGGATTCCGTGATGTATTCGAACTCACAGCATGAGTCTCACGCTCCGGGGTGAGGAGTTTTGGATTTTTGTATCAATCTGGTACGTCTGGTCGCACACGCTTCACTTATCCGGAGCATGATACGGTATCACTGATACCTCCTGTTGATGTGCTGTAGATGGCCCTAGTTCAATATATGGCTTGATCGTCATGAGTCACGCTATGATTAAGCATGTAGTCCAGTAGTCATGATATCTATTGGTTTTGCTCAGTTTCTATGAACCGTGTGGCAATGTGGAAAATGACGTATGAGGTGGTAAAATATGGACGGTAGAACACTACATCAACACACTCCATTGACATAGTGTGATACATCATCGGAAGCACATCTTCACTGAAAATTCTCGAGGTGTTAGGGTTGTATAATGTTTGTGACGGATTCCACATTTCTACGGTTGAACTGAATCTCCTATTGCGGTTCTCGTACGAGCCAGTTGCCTCGCGAAAGCCGCCTCCATTCCCCCTCACTGATATCTCCTTTGAGGGATAGATCCGTGATTCGCGGATCGCCAGTACTTGTCATTGGGAGCCTCTCTGCCACGTTATTTCGTGAGCTCCACTAAAAAGGTTTGAAATATCATATCCGATGGCACACACCATAAGTGAATTGATCACTGACGAGCCATCAAAACTCCCGGACTGAGGACGATCCTCTTGCTATTCCCTCGTGGTATTCGTGAAGAAAGGTATAACAAACTCTCAGCACAACTCGTCAAGACTAACGCTGACACTTAGTGAGCAAAATTGGGGACCAGTTGATATCTAGACGTACAAATTACAGAAGACAGGAGAGAAAGCAGAGTGTGCTGAGCCGGCTGCTTCTAGCCACCCATAACTTCAGTTGTTACATCAAACAGAATGATCGCCATGAGC